AGGGTTAGTAAAATCACAGTTTATAGCTTACACGGTTATAAAAGTTTCATGGCAGACTTGTCACTTCTCTGTTGTCTGTTGCTGTTATAGGCGAATCACATTTTCTAGAAATTTCTATTGTACCGATTAAAGAAGTTGATTCTTTGTGTTCACGAATGTTATATAATCTTGGATAATTGGCGGGAGTTTCGCCATACGTAATTAACACGATAAGTTAAACACGCCCTCAAATATAAACTTATTCAAAACAAACGTTGATATTAAAATAGATATATAACAAATTCGTTATACGCAACACATATCTGATACTATTAGTCACGCATATTTCTAAATATAAATTCAATCCAAACAACGTTCATATTCAAAATAAATACATAATAATAAATTCGTTACATCACTTAAAATAAGTACTTGATATTCCAAAATTTGACATTTTACTTTCCTACACTGTAACGCAAAGATTGACTTACAAATCTTTTAATTTTTCTAATTTCGTTTTTATATTCATGTTGTAAAGATTGTACCAAATATGATGAAATTATTTATACTTTAACACTATCACCAATGTGCACCGTAAGAAGGCGTTCTATTCCATTAGTAACTAGACGAGGAGGTTGTTTGTATATATCAGTAAACAGTAAAGTGGAAGCAAAGAATTCAGACTTTGAGGTAGGCGAATATCTCAAAAAATAAAATAAAAATTGTTGTTAGTACTAATGAGGGATTTCCACTGTACACTATTATTGTACTTCAGTAAGGGGAGAAGTCAATAGAGCTGATGTTAGTGATGAAATCGCAGGTCTTTAATCTGCCTTTTTTCAGTTGTTATTTCTAAATTCTAGCAGTAGTATCTTGTTGTGGTTGATTCACATCACAGCTTTTTATACTTAAACTTATAGATACGTAAGTTGCACTGGTTTTTTTAATGTTGCAGCAGAAGTTTTAATGTTACTTTTCAGGCCTGAATGCTATCAATTAACTGATTGAAGATGTCACTTGGAATAAATGGTTTCAGAATTGTTTTATATCAATGTTGTATTATTAAAATTGGAGTGTTGATAAGGTCGTCAGATAACCCAGACTACTGTATATGATGGTTGTACTATATATTCACTTCCACAACACTGTTCACTTTAGACAGTAGAAGGACTGCAAATGTAAGGGATCTCTCTAACAATATTTTATTTGATTCAATACAGCATATATATTGACCTGAATTGTTATAAGGTGAATAAAATGAACAATACTGAATTGCAATCATATATTGTATAGACATTTATTTTGTTATGGTCTGAAACATGAACATCCTTTTCTTTTTAATGTGTTTTATCTCCCTTTATTTGGTGTGTTTTTTGGATATTTCATATGGTTTTAGGTTATTAAAAGTGGAGGCACTGCCTCCTATTGAAAAAGTTGGTAAGCAGTTCCCCCACCACCACATCTTCAGTGTCTATATCATCCACAATAGTTTATAGAATCAGGAATACTTGTTATGAGAGATTATATATACATAGTCATTGTGTATATAATGAAATTAAAGTAACTACACAACCGTCTTGTATATAGTCAAATGCAAACAATACAAGACTGTTTTGAAATGTTATACATTACTAGTTGCAAATAGATGAACTATGTATTAACCAAATATCATCCAACCTAACTTAAAGTAACCAAATCTAGTCTATCATAACCTGAGCTAAAATGATATTACCAAACTTAACCTAGATGGTGTAGAAAATGTATGTAAAACGTGATATGCTTATCATAGTCCTTTGCATAGTAAGGCAAAGGTAAACAGCAATATCTATACTTATATATAGAGAGAAAATTAATTTCCACACGTTTAAGCTGCTCAAAATAAGTTATTGTGATCAAATTATCCTAAAATTGGTTTGCCTGATTATAACTGTAGTATTACAACTTCTGGTTGTCCTTTAATTGTTTTGAGCAGTGTATTTTATGAGTTTTTGTAACCAACCAAATATCAGTTAATTTCAGTTTCTTATCTGTTTAAGATTTTTGTGCTAAAAGCAAAATCTTAAAATTGTGCTAGCAGTTCTTTGTACTAAAATTATGATTTTTTTTAATGTGAGTTTTATATTTGTAATATACTAAATAATTTAATCTTAGATTATTAGAATTCCTAACTGCACATGCATGTTGAGAGGGGAGGTTTGTTGTTATTTCTTCATTTATATGACTCCAACTCAGACTTGATCCTGTGTTAAATGTTACGTTTCTTTATGTAAGAACAAAGTAATGAAATAGAAATGTGCATATTGAAACAATTGAAACATATATGCATATATATATATATATAGATAGATAGATAGATAAAACAGTGTACAATATATTTTATAAATAAAGTTTTTGATCATCTTTTCCAGAATATGATCTACAATTTATACATTTTTGATCAGAATGGAACCTGTTTGTATTACCATGAGTGGAATAGGAAAAGGAGCTCAGGAATGTCTAATGAGGAGGTGATATCTCTTTCTCTCTAAAATATTTATCTAAAGTAATATTTTGAATTACTTTACAGTAACATTTTTATTATCAAGTATTTAATGTGAAAAGAAACTGATGTTTAAAAGTAATACAGCATTGATGGTATCATAATGTAACTAGTGGATAACATGCTTTAGTTTATGTTGTCATGATCTCATATAATCTTGAATAAAAATATTATGAAAATATTTTGACTTATGAGGACTTAGATGTGAAATATAGTAAGATTTGAAAATGTAAAGAAATGACAATAAATATGAATCTCATTACCTATTCATCATAATTATACAATGATATAAATAATGTTGGACAGCTTAAATTCTCATTATTTTTACCTTTGTTGTCCAACATTTCTAGCATTATCATCACACACACAACCCAGTGGTCATAGTTCATAGTAAAATATGATCTTGGTGTTTAGGGGACTGTCTGAATACTGTATAAGTGATATATACTACTGTTTCTAGATTTGTATAAATCAAAGTTTTATTATTTCACAATGCAAACAATATATGACCATTGTTATAATGTCTGCAAGCATTAGATTTGCTATTCTGTGATGATAGCCATAATTACTTAGTGAATTTAATCATGTTTATTACTTAGAAAGATTATGACTGATTACGTACAGATTGTGCATTGGACGATTTACCTTCAGTACCAGGACTTTAAGATTCTTCTCTGACCAACTACTTATGAAAGAGTTTTAAAACTTAAGAACACTTAGGGCAACTGTGGGCTGAGAGAAGAAAATTTTTATTTTTTGCTTAGAGCTGAATTCCATGGGAGTAGAAACATTATGTTTGCTTTAGAAATTGTAAAGTTTCATAAAAAGTTTCAATTTTTTCTGTGATCATTTTATGTTCAAAGGTTTAATGATTTCTTTTCTGTGCTTCATTTTGGTAGTGGATGATTAATTAACAACATATATTTGTATATATGCATATAACAACACTGACAACTTAACTAGAAACATTCGTTCCAATTTGTTTGCCATCTTGACTTTGACCCCTTCTTTTGCATTGTCTCAGCTGCCTTGGTTTCTTTGTTTCTGGTATTTTCTTAGTCAGGATGTCTTACTTTTGGGTGTTTGCCTCCCTCAGTATTATCTTAGGGACCTCTGTTTGGCTGACTCCCTACCTTTGGAGGTGTTCCTTATGATATGGAAACTTGATCTGAGGTTGTTTTCCAGCAGTCTTCTTTGATTAGTTTGATTTCCCAAATTTCTTGGTCCAGGAAGTTGTTACAGGTTTTTCAGCCTAGGGAGTCTCATGGGTTGCTCCCTGTCCTTCTTATTGACCTTCTCTTTCTCAGAGGGTTGACTGTTGCAGATTATGGAAGTGACATACTTTTGGACCTGTCAATTGACTTTGGTTTGGTGGGAGCTTGGCTCTTCTTCATTGAGCATTTTGTGGAAGACTAGTGCCCTGCCATAGATCTCTCATTGTTGAACCAATTTCTTGTCATATCTTGGTTCAAGATGGATTATTTTCTCAATCTGAGGTGGTGTTCTCTTTCAAGTTGTGGATAACCAAAGTCAGTGTTTTGGATGCTTTTCTCTACATCCATATTTATCTATCTGCTTGTTACTTTCTCCTTTTCCATGATGGTTGTAATTTTCAGTTCCAGGCCTTTCTCTTTGAGTTAGCCACGGTCCCATATATTCTCAGTATAGTGTCAAGAGAGTATACGCATGGCAAGTGCATTTGTCAGGTCTTCATTTCCACTACTATGTAGATGACTGTTTTCTTTTTACTCCTTCAGAAGCTTCCATTGTGGCAACCTCCCTCTTCCTTTGAGAAGTATCTCATTTTGTTTGGCTGTTCAAGTTCTCCTATTCCATTTTGACCTCTGCTCAGTATCTGATTCACCTGGGATTCTTTTTCAACTTGGGTGCAGGGTGGGCTCAACCATCTCCTCTACATCTTCAAGAGATGGACTTTCTGGTTATCAAAGCTATCACATCTCCTATGCTTCTTGTGGGAGAGGTTCTATAGCTTTTGAGAATTCTGGTTTTGATTGAGTCTCTAATTCCCATCATACATGCCCATATAAATATGTCCAGAGATTTCTTGTCATTTCCATTAACTCTTTATCCATGTTATTACCTCTCTTCGTTGTGGTAGCTTGATTGGTCCTACATGACACTGGGCATTCCTCTTCCCCTACCTCACTCAAACCTGCATCTATTTACAAATTCCTCTCGTTCTGAGTGGGAGATAGTTCTGGACACCTACACTATATAAGGTGTCCCTTCCTATCAAGAGTCTAGAACTGTTGGCTGCTAATCATGCTTACTGTCTTCTTCACTCTCATTATCTAGTCATCATGTAATTATTCATTTGTACAACTCCACTGTCATGTCTTACAGCAACTGACAAGAAGGCACTCACTCTCAGGATGTCTTCTTTCTAACTCTGGATTTTCTTTTTTTTTAGTCTGTGAGTACTACATCAAATTGTTGGACTGCCATATCCCAGGTGCTTTGAACTAGGTGGCAGATTGACTATCATGCTTGGACCGAATCCCTCCCACAGAGAGCTTTCTACCCATTCTTGTTTCAGTGAATTTGTTCTCACTTTGGGAGTACTCCTGTTGATCCCTTTGTGACTCCCTTCAACATCAAGCTACATCTTTTTTTTTTTTATCAGCAGCTTCATATTCTGTGGATCTGGTTGTAGATGCTCTAGAGCCAGGATTATACCATTCACTTTCTTTTCACTTATCCTCCTCTCTGACTTCTTCCCAGGATTCTGTCCCTTTTTCACAACATCTCTTGCTGAATCTTTCTCATTTCTCCTCTTTAGCTAGCCCAGTCATGGTTTCCATTCCTACACCTCTTGATGTGTGGGAATCCTCTTCCTCTTTCACCTTGGATATCCCTTTTACATCAGCCATAAACTTCCATCTTTCACCAACTTCACTTTTGGGATTTGCCCATTCCTTGCAAGATGTGCTTTTCTTGCAGGTAGCATGTTTTCTGACTTGCTCTTGTCAGCCAAATATCCTTGCAGTTTATCAATGCAACTGGATGGTTTACTGCTTGTGGGCCTTCACATCTCCCTTCTTCCAGATTGTCCTGCTCTTTCTCATCTCATTTCCTTTTTTTACCTGGCTTTTTAAAAATGCTTTATCCATATCTACAATTGCCTGTTGTAAAGCAGCTTTCTTAGTGATCTTCTGTCACTTCCACAGCCATTCTTCTTTTCTTTCTCCAGTTTTTACAGACCTCTTCTGAGTTTTCCTTATCAGTTGTTCTCCTCATCCAGCTCTTCTTCTGGACTGGAACCTCTATGTTGTTTTCCAAGCTCTCACATATTCCCTGTTTGAACGTTTGACCACCTGTCCCATGTATTATCTTTCTTTCTTTTCTTTTATTCTTGTTTACAGATGATGTTGCTCTGACATTTTTACCTTAGATAGATCTCTTAGAATTTTATTCCCAGACTGTTCCTTTCTTCCCAAGACTTGGGCTACCTGGAAGGGTGATTGAATATTTTTACCAGCATTCTCCCTTTCATTTCCTCCTGTTTGGGCATTTCAGTGTTCTCCCCTATACTGCTCCTATACATTGCATTTGCCATTGTCTTTTTGTGTCACGGAATCCTTGTACTTTTTCAGAGTTATCACAGGTTGAGTTTATAATCTCATCTGGCTTGTTTATTCCTCTATGGAAGAGGATGTCTATCAGCTTTATCAGCTAACCTCCTATCATATTTGTCATCTCATTGCTTCTCTTGCCTTTCACAAGTATGAGACTGAATGAGTACACCCTTTGATGGGAAGTAGGGCTGAGGTGTTACCTGGAAGTGTAGTATATGTTCCCCCACCATACTATGAACCAAGCTGTTCCTGGTGATTAGGTCAGCTGAATGGGTCTTGTGTTCTCCTTGGGACATAGGTCTGATATATTTTCTCCCTGCACCTTATTATTGTGATAAGTATCTTGCGTAAGTATTTCTCAAAGGTGTTATGGTCTGACATATTGCCATAGCCACATTACGTGTTTAGTCTCAGCCAACTGTCTGTTAGAGAAAGGTTGGTTGAACAATCTTACATAATGCTTTAGCACCACACAAAAAGTCCCTTTAACAATATATTTTGCTCTATCACCTTAATTTGGTCAAGAGTGATGCCCTACTTGGCTACTGCTTGTGAGGACATGTTCCATGTGTTTTTCCTTTCTGGTGCTGTGTTTTCAGAAAGGAGCTCATCTTTGTAATTTCTTTATCTGCACTGGCTCCTCCACAGTCTTCTCAATGTGTGGCTTTAGCTCTTTGTTTTACAGAGAAGTAAGTAAACATTTCTGAAGATAACATTTTCCTTACCTGAAAATGTGTTTCAGTTAGTTACTCATGTCTCTGCACAACCTCCCACTCTTTCTTCGTACTTCTGGTGTATTTACCTTAACCTTGTCGAAATGAGCCTTTGTTCAAATGCTAGTGCTTATGTGTATTACTGTACATGAAAGATGTATCGCTCTACTATTGGAGGAAGGCTATAATCCAATGATTATTACATCATAGTCTGGTGTGTAGTGGTGGAAACTTCATTAAAGGCTTGTGGCATGTACAAATTATCTTCATGGCAGTTTGTTGTGCAGCAAGGTTAATAACTGTCTGACATAATTTTACTCTTAGTTTACATATACCATATAGTGTTCATAATTTGTGAAGAAATTTATGAAAGTAAAAAAAATTGTTACTTTGACATTAGTTTTTGTATTTTCAGTAATGCTACTTTATTCAAATTTACAATTCTCTTGCTATTTTTGCAAACACACAGTAGCTGCATTATACAAACATCATTAGCAGTGTTAACCTAGATTAATATCTGCATAAAATAACCCTATTTTGTCTTTCATTTTTTAGCATTTTTTAAATAAGAAATTTCTAAATAAAATCATTATTATAAGGACATTTTACTTATTAAAAACAGTTTAGGAATGCCACAGAAATCTTATTTTTCAGTTATGTATCATGTATTATGATTACAGGAGACCAAGTTAATGTATGGTATGATCTTCTCTATCAAGTCCTTTGTATCAAAGATCTCACCCACTGACTGGTAAGTTTAAATTTTTTTTCTAAATTCAACCTTTATTATTTTCAGATGATTATTCTTTAGTTTGAAAAACAAAAACTATTTTATCTGGTGCCTAGTAAAATACAGTAGTTTTACAAATAGGGTTGGATATTTGATTTCTTAAAAGTATTGACAGATCGAATTAGTCAAATAGTGGTTAATTATTTCTATACTCAGGTAAATATCATAAGCATTAACAAATTTATTTGATTTTCTTTTTTTGCTTTAAACATTTTAAAGTTTCTGATGATATTTTTGTCTTCTAAGTTACCCCAAGCTGTAAAATGTTCTATATTCATTTATTTTTAGGCTTCATGTACCTTTATTGAATTTTCACTCTTATTTTTCAGTGTAAATACTAAAAAAAGGACATAAAAGCTGAAATATGTGTTTATTTAATAAGGGTTTTTTAATCTTCTGTGTAATAAAGTGAGCAGAATAATAAAGAGCAACATTTCCAAGGTAGTACGAATAATATTTTCACTTTGAAATTGTTATTTCACAAGTTGTAATTGGATATTCACATGTTTTTTGTATGAAATGTTTTTTATTAATTTTTTATAACAAATTCCCATAAAACAGCTTCATTTTGACTTTTTATGTTTTTTGTATGTGAAATTTCTATGATTTTGTTGCACTTTTATTATCATTTTCCTATAAATATATGTATTTTTTATATATTTTAACCAAAAGACACCTGATGGCCTGTATTTTCAGATTTAATATATTATTTAGAAGTTTTAAATTAGTGTCCTTTTTTTTATTACACTATAACTCCAAGTTCAATAATGTTAAGCACTGTAAAATTCTGCCATATTTCATCTAAATGTTCTAATTTTTTGTATTTTTATCAGACTTCAAGCTAAACATAACTATAGTCTAATAAGGCTGTAAGTTATACGTTATTTGTAAAAAATTAACATTTTGCAAAGTAGCCTCACATGTAGAACTCTTAAGAATGCCTCTTCCATTAAGTATTTTGTTTTCTTGTTACTTGTTTTGTACCATATTGTTTGACATTAACTGAACACACAAATTTTGAACTTATTGAGTTTGAAGAATGATAAGGCTTCTGGTTAATATTCCCTCAAGGGTTTTGAAGGAAATTAAGGATTGGATATGTCAGACACTTTCTACTATTTTTTTTGTAAGTCCTTGAATAATGGGCAGGTGCCAAAGGATTAAAAGTACTCTTTTCAAGGGAGTGATAAAAATTGTCCTTATGGGCCTGTTACTCTTACATCAGTGGTTAGAAAAGTTTTGAAAGTTTGATAAAAGATGATATGCAAAATCATTTAATAAAGTTGAAAAGTTTGTTGGATAGTGATCATTGTTTCACTAGGACAAAATTTTGTCTTGCTAATATTTTGACATTGTTTGAAGAGGTTATTCCTTATATAGATGAGAATGTCATTTGATACATCTGAATTTTCAGAAAGTACTTGACAAGGTGCCACATAAAAGGCTTGTTAAAATTTATCTCTATAGGTGTGGGGAAATAATTTGGTTCATTAGATAGAAAAGTAGCTGGGTGAAAGAAAGCAGAGGATTGTTATAAATCACACTTGATTAATGTCACAAATGAAGTACCTCAAGACTTAGTGTTAGGGCCTTAGTTCTTTTTGATTTATATCAATGACATAGATGTGGAGTTTTTAGTGAAGTACTTAAATTTACTGATGATACTAAGGTCTTGGATGTTACTGGCTCTGAGGAGAATGCTGTTTTTTAGAAAATGATTTAGATCATTTTTGTGATCTAAATGGCAGATGACTTTTAATTATAATAAATCCAAGGTAATACATGTGGGTTATCATAACTTAAATTATAAGTATAATTTGGATGGGAAAACTTTAAGAGGTTATAATTTCATTATATAGATCACTGATTAGGCCATATTTAGAGTATTATGTTCAGACTTGGGCTCCTTACCTTAGGAAGGACATTTAATTGTGTAAAAGGGTTCAGATGAGGTCTTCTAGAATGATGCCTGAGATGGAAATGTTGTCATGTGAGGATAGTTTAAGATCTTTTCTTGAAAAAAAAAGGAGAGTTAGAGGGGATTTGATTGAAGTGTTTAAAATTGTTAATGGAAGTCATGGTGTTGATACATCATCATTTTTTTTATACTTAATAGTGAAAATGGTAGGTCTAGGGTATACAAATATAAATGTTTATAGAGTAGGAGCCATCTTCATATAAAGCAGTTTTATTTTTCTAATGGGGAAGATGGCCTTTGGAGTGTGTGGAGTGGGTTACATTTTGATGTGATGTAAGCAGTAAATTTAAGGGAGGGATTTATAAATGTTTATATGATAAGAGCTGGTGTTGAGTTTACTTTTTTGATAGGTTAATTTAGTGAATGGATCACCTTGGACCAACAGGTTCATTGTTGTCCTTAAATGTTGTGTTATTCTATTTCTCAAGAACCAACTTCATCAGACAAATAGTGGGCCAGTCTTCTAAAACATTTTTCATCACTTAAAGATTGTGATAGACAATAACCAACTTCCTAAGCATACACAACTGGTTTCTCATTTTAGAGTGCACAGTTCCATTGATAACATAGTTTGGTTCAAGAAAGAGGCATAAGAATATTAACCACAGCAGTTAGAATACAGAAAGATCATAGGCCTTTTATAAGTGCTAATGGAGAAAAAATATTTTAAACTCCAGTCCAGGGATAGCATCCCAGATGGTATTACAATGAATTGCACTGCTTTAAAATTACTCAACTATGTGAAAAAGACATTGCTGATCAGTATGATCTTCGAAATTTGTCATGGTCATAATGAAGTCACTCGATTAATCAAGTTCCTTTGCACTTAAATGTTTCTCTTGGCAATGTTGTATGACTAGACATACTGCAATGTGGATTGAGTTGGCAATTTCCTTGTTTATTCTTGTATGATTTTCCTTCACATGTTTCTCCTCAGCCTCAGTGAGTATGCTGTTTATGCTTGTTAGTGTCTGTGTTGTAATAGTGAGAAGTTTTCATTTAACATTGAAAAAATGGTCAGATCACAAGCTGAAGGAGCTATTGATATTTTAGTTACACATCCAGAACACATCTTCGTCAAGGTTATCAATACTGACCTCTATAATATTGTAACCAGGAATTCCTACTTTTGCTGCAACTTACTACAGAGCCTTCTTTGAAATGGATAAATTCCATACAGGTTATATGGCATGAGATTTACTATGTTTTGATAAAATGGAGTGGTATAGTAGTTGGTACTTTGTAATGGCAGCAAGCATTTAACAGAAGTTATGAGAATGTTATCAAATTCTATACATCAACTATGAGTAGCTACAATGTAAGAGTTGTACACCCATAGCTCTGGAGAAAGGAATACTTGTTCATCGACATTCCTGACATAGCCTTCTTACTGCCTATATTATTGGTCACAAAATAAAATGCACCTGATAGATCTAGATCAGTTATGTTTCAAAACTGAGTTGTCATACTATTTGCTGCATAAAGTTTATCAGTGCTAACACATTAAGCTCACATAATTAAGCTTCAGAACTCTCTCAACCTATGTGGAATGATACAAGTTCCAGAAGTGGCAAAAACAATATACTGTATTAAACTATGCTGAAAGCAAAGAATAAGAAAAAAAAGGGATTAGGAAACAAAATACTAGGTATAATTTTTTTTTTAATATCATCATACTTTATAATCATGAAACTGATATTTATTTATATATTATAATAGTACAGTACATTGGCATTCTACACCTGTCCAATGAAACTTGTTATGGATAGGCTATTGCCTATTGGTTAAACCTAAATAACCCTATAAAGTGATTGCTTTGTTTACATTTCTTATTATGTTCAGTTCAGTATTTCATTGTGGTCAAATAATGAACTGTTAATTGGCTGCCATCCCTTAGTATAGAATATTCTATTGTTTAGTCTAAATATTGATTTTATATTACCTGATAACATAAAGAAACTTTTAACAGTATGTTATAAATATAAAATGTTTTTTCAACAAAGTTAATGTCTCTTTCGTGATATTTAGGGTATCATTGGTAAATCCATCAAAATTATAATTCAAAGTAGATTTAAAGCATAGCATGCCATTTTATTGGAAATATACCTTGCTTCATTAGATACTCACTGACAATACATTCACACCTATTATAGGAATAGAATATTGTATACATTCAAAAAGTCAAAAAATTAAGTTTAAATTGACAGATTATATACTCTCAAATTACTGATTTTTTAAAAAAGAATTGCACATTATTTAAGGAAATTTCAAGTTGGAAATTTAAAATTTTTTTCTTTATTAGAGGATTGGAGATTGTATTAGTATTCAGGTTTTGGTAAATTCTTCCAGGTTTAAGTAGATAGTGTTTAAGATGCTTGGACAGTGGCACAGGAACAATCTACGCCACCAATAGATATTAAAATATAAAATGTATTACATTTTTAGTCAAATTGTAATTCAGACCTTGAAAAAGTGGTTGGAATACGAGAAAAATTTGATGTAGAAATTGTGGTTTGTTTTGGTAAGACATAGTTGGATGTGATACCTCTTTACATCAGTATATTGTAGTTGAAATGGTATTCTAATTTATTTGAGGATGTGTATTTATATTAATCAAGTCACAACATCATTCTTAATGAAAAATTAATTACTTGCTTCATGTAAAATTTCTATGCAATTTCAATTCAGTGATGCTATTTGCATCCTTGCAGTGCACCTTTTAACATAAATGCTGCAGTACATTACATCAGACATATTTGTATTAATATACCTATTTACGGTTTTTAGTTAGAAAGTAGTAGTTTATTGTAGTTTTAAAATTTTGTTTATACATATGTTGAATTCCAACTCCACCAGGACAAATAAGAAAGTGGAAGCCAAAATTGTAGTTAAGTCTATAGTAAAGAGATGTGTAGCTCATTTAATTCATTGTTGAAAGATGTCTTTGTGAAACGCAGAGAGCATGAGAATCAATTTTTGCACAGAGAAAAGTGAAATAATTATAATATATTCTAGTTAATTTCTGTACAATAATTTATAATAGTTTTTATATGTGTGAATCATGTTAGTACAGTTCTTATTCTGCATTTTTAAGGTCTAGTGTTTTAGATTTTCACTATTCTTTAGACATAAAAAAGTAATTTGAAATTAGTAAAGAAAACAAGTATGAAAATGCTATTAACACCTAAGAATTGTGTATTGTTAAATGTGAATTACTGAGCATTTTGTTTATGACTAAAATACATTAATATATAAAAATGCACGGCATGGCCAGGTGGTTAGGGCACTCGACTCTCAATCTGAGGGTCGCAGGTTTGAATCCCTGTCCCACCAAACATGCTCGCCCTTTCAGCCATGGGGGGCATTATAATGTGATGGTCAATCCCACTATTCGTTGGTAAAAGAGTAGCCCAAGAGTTGGCGGTGGGTGGTGATGACTGGCTGCCTTCCCTCTAGTCTTACACTGCTAAATTAGGGATGGCTAGCGCAGATAGCCCTCATGTAGCTTTGCACGAAATTCAAAAACAAATAAACAATATATAAAAAGCATTTCTTTACTAAGATTAGCTTTGTACCCTAAAGATGAAATAAAAAATTTATTAAATTTTTTTAAATTAAGGTATGCTGCCTTTGTATTTCAAAACAAATTATGTTTTGCTCCTTCTTTTTTCCCAGTAAAGATGGATTCATGAACTTTAAGACAAACAAATATAAACTTAACTTTTATGAGACACCCTCAGGATTGAAGTTTATCATGAACACTGATGTGGGTGCAACTGATGTACGAGCACTTCTTCATGAAATCTACAGACAGGTAAAGAGCTTATCATGTGCATTGTTATAAAAAATGAAATATATTGTTTGATAAACACATACACAGCTGGTTATTGAATTCTTATGCTAACGTATGTGGATGTCTATATTTGTTTGTGTATATATTTTTAGGTTTTTGGAATTAAAATGCATATAAGAATTAGTATTCATTAAAAACCATGCCAGTTTTGTTACGATAGTAAGCCAACTAGGATATTCATTATACAAATCAGTTTATTATTGGCTTGCTGTCATATTAAATGGCAAGCAAAATTTGATGCCATGTTGGCTGACATATAAAAATTCACAGATTACTAAAATTATATACGCGTAAAATTATTGTTATATTTTGGAGCTGTTGCTTGATGTCACCTATGTTACAATGTCATACAGGTTAGGTAAGCTGAATCCCTTAATGTACAACTTTTGTTTGTTTCCTGGAGGTTATTGGAATTAAAATAACAAATACTGGTTACTTTACAAAAAGTTGCAAACCTTTAAAAGTATTTTTGAAGAATTCTGAGTAACAGATTTTATGATTTCTATCATAACAAGATGTAATGTGTCCTGATAGTTAAAAAATACTTTATAGCTCACAAATAAAAGACAAACTAGTTTTTATTATTTTCAGTAGTAGTTTATTTTATAAACAGCAAATTTGGTTTAAAAGCTGTTGTTTTAAACAAAAAATTTAATGTTTATGATGTCAGAAAAACACACATATTCTTCGTGACTTTGTTTCCTAGTTGTTAGAAAAATATGCAGAAAGCAAGAGACTAAAGAAAAGAGCTGGGTGATAAGTAGAATTTGCTAATCAATTGATCTTTGGGCTCATTAGTTGATTAAATTCAACTAACTGATTATTTTCACATGAGACTTGGATAATTATAATAATTGAAAATAGTAATAACTAAAAACATTAATTGATTTAATCATAATTTTTATTAATAAATTGTTTTACATGACACTAATTGATGTGTTAGATATTCATAGGTAACTGATTTAGTTGAGTTGATCATCCAGCTCTACTAAAAAATGACCAAACATTAAACAAGTTGAAAGTTTTTAATTTTCTTGTCACTGTGAAAAGTGAAAGGAAATTACAGTACTCAGCAGAAACTCATTTAAAGTAATAGGTTAATATAAGTACAATAATAGAAATAAGTATAGAATGTAATGGAAGGCCGGTAAGCTAGTCATTTGAGGTTCAACTTTTACTCCATTTAGAAACTAATTTATTTAAATCCATGTTATACAGTCACAAGTGGAGTAAACAAGTCACCAACTTGAAAAAGTTTACAGTTAGAATAAAGAAATGACCCAAAGATACAGGCAATAAATAATGCTTTAAAACAAAATATTAAAATACTCATCTATTTTCACAGTATCAAAATCATATGAGAATAGTTCTATGTCATAAACATCAAATTCTTCATTCTGAGCAAGCAGCTGTTCATTAATTAGACCTTCAATAATACTCATCAGATCTGCTACTACAATGAGCAAATTATCAATTAAACTGTTGCCTAACATACTTTCAGACATTGTTTAACTTATGCAGTCTGTTTACTACTTCTTCTAAAATATCTCTCGATAAAGCTTTCGACATAATCTTATTATTCATGCATGTTACATATCATGTCCTTGTTGCAATATTAGACCAGAGAGGATAGCAGTTTGTAAGGAAGAATTTGTCATATCCTTCAACACAGCCACAGTCAAGACTCAGAGTTTCATTGCTACAGAACTAACTTCTGAGCCAAAAATGCAAGATTTTATACCCATTTGTATATGTCCTTATGACTCTGCAATTAACACCATACACTTAGTTTTCAAGTAGGTTTTCTGCTCTATTGGTTTAATTCTTCTGAATCATTTAAACAACAACAAAAACTTACGGATGATTGGTAGCAGTCACTAGCTATTAGATGGCAGCCTATTAGCATGTGTCTTTCCACATTTTCCTTCATATAAAAGTTCTGCCAACCATTTTTTTATGTGGCTTACTTCTTTTAGTTAATGAAGATAACATAAACGTTCTGAAACCTTTCTCTGTACTATGCCCGTGTCTGATTTCAATTTTGTCTGCTTTAGCTTGAATTGCATCTTGGTCAACTTGTGTCGTAACTTATCATTTCATTTCCTTATTTGGTTAACTGTCCTTGTAAAACTTCCAATGAGTATATTTTAATGTGCATGTAATTTCTGTGTTTGACGTGAATATTCACAAAAAAGTTTTATTTCTAGTCACGGAAGCATTTGTAAAAATGCCTCAATATATTACAACTGCTTCAGAAACACACTGGTGATAAACATAGAGGAGTCACAAGCAATGAATAATTGGAATAAAATGGCTTGTTTATCATTTGTGCAATACATTATTACCAGCAATACACCTTTTTCTATGCTACTATAAGTTTATCTATATATGATTGTGAAATATTGTTCCAGATATTTCTTATTACTCCCCACAATTCAGCCAAGTTGTTTGGTTGCCATTTTACCTTTTCAATTCCTATATATCTCCATACAGCCTCAGTAATATTCATATTGGGACTTTGTGCAAGCCAATCCCTGCAAGTGTTCCATTAGCCTCCTTTTTTTTTCTTTCTTCAGTGTATCATTTTATCACATTTGATGCATGCTTAGTGGTCTGGCTGGAAATTAATACCTTGCCCTACATATCTTGTTCCTGAAGAAATAACATTATGGATAAATATTAGTCTGTACCAATCAGCTGTCAGATATTCAATCCTTTTGGCTGAGATCTATCCCACATTTGTATTGGTTCTCTAACATGCTTCACTGTAAATGCTGTACATTAACCATGATACCATTCTCCTCTCTGCTATCAAACAAACTATCTGAATGTTGCTGAACAGTATGAATTTGGATTTATCTGTAAAGAATGCCTTCTTCCATCATTACTCACTTCATTGTTTGAAGTCTGATGCCTATTTCAGCCTTCTGGTTTGGTTATCTCTCTCTTAACTCTATGCATACATGCTGAGTCACTGTGACTGACCTTTTTACCACCATTTTACCTTGAAACTATACATACAATAATTCTGAGTGTACTAAGTGGACCTTCACAAAATTAACAAACTTTAATAAAAATTACGTCTTTTTTTTTGTTCACAGACAGTTATTTATCCTAATAGCCTCAGCTTCTAACCTTTCCTTGTCTGCTTTGTTTTAGTCCAATATGCCCAGAGCCCAGACACCTTTCTCTTTTAGGCCTTTTTAAGGATTTTATAAGGTCAAAATTCAAACAACCTAAAAATGTATATTTTTGGCTCCTGTGTGGTCATATTTACAGCAATCAAGATGAAAAATGGCACAAATATAAATTTTCATGCGCTAAACACATCGACGTACAAAAAATTGGACTTGCCCATTTTGAGTCTCTTTTTAGGGAGGTCATAGCTCACAATAATGCATAATTTTTCGGACTTTGGTCATTTACTCAGTCATATTTTGACTAATAAACATGGGATTTGGTACAAAGATACTTTTCTACAGCTCCCATATATTAGCATACAAAAATGATGGAATTGTCTATTTTTAGGGGGGGGGGGTCAAGATGCTACAAAACTTACTCTGCTATATTTTGGCCAATTTACATGGGATTTTCTACAAAGATACTTTTTGTAGGTCCTGAACAGAAATATAGACAGTTTTGGAATTTTTTTGCTTCATTTTTCAGCAAGAAAAGTACAATTTGTGGTTTTTCGTGAACTATTCTTGTATATGTTAATCAACTTACATTAGATTTGGTACAAAGATACCTTCTTGTAGGTCGAAAGCAGTAGTATAGACAGTTTTTGATTTATCTGTGTTTTCACAATTTTTCTGGTGTAAAAATTAGCTGTGTTGGGATTGCATGTGGAGACATGTTACATTTGCCCACAATTTAGCTCTTTAATTTAAGTTTTGCTATCTAACTTAATTAGTTTCTATTTATAACATTTGAGTTACTTCTGTTAAAAAATATATAACAATAAATAAAAAATTTATCTAAAAAAATAAGAAATTTTGCACTTTAGCCTTGAGACCATTTGCGCTGAGGTACCATGCATTCGTTAACCTATTTTTTTTCTCATTATGTTAGCTAAATGATAATTCATGTAACTTTCAAGTATACATGTTAGAACATATATCAGGCACAAGAATATATAAGTTCCCAAAACTACTCTAATATACCTGGCTTTCTAAAGTAGTTACAAATAGATTTAAAAATCCCATTACTGTTCAGATCAATGACATTATTCAACACATGTCAAACTTTTCTTGAAAACTGCCATCTCTGACTAACACAATTAAAGAAATTGATATAGGAGAGCAATAAAATGAATTTTACTCTCTCTATTAGTTATAAATATCCATTATTTTTGTAAAAGTATGTTAAAAGCCACCCTAAAGGCATGACAGGATGGGAAGATAAATTTAATAAATTTGTTGATATCTCAACAAATCAAGAACATAGAAGGTTCTAATTTTATATGCTGGCTTGCCACTATCTAGGGTTTGTGTGTGTAATTGGCTGGACACTCTGAAATCTGTAAAAGAGATGGAAGAAAATTTATCAAGGAGAGTTCAGAGCACAAGAAGTGAAGGTTTAAAATTTATTTAGATATGTTGTTTTGAAATTAAGAAATGATCTATAACACAAGAATTGCCTGAAAATGGTTCAAATTCTATTTAGAAAGTGATATACACCAGTTTCTAGAAACAAGAATTAATAATAGAAAAACCACCTGAAAGTGGCTGAGATTCTATTTAGAAAGTGATATAGTCCTTAGAAACTCTTTGTCATGAGTATGAAAGCTCAACAGCAGAGGAGCAAAGGAAACATCAACAGTTTTACCTGTAAGAAACTAAATAGCTATCATGTGGCATAAAAAGTGTCAAAAATGTGAATGAAACTAAAAACATCAGGATAAAGTTGAACATAAGAATTTTACTCAAAACTTACACCAAAGAAGCAAAAAACACAGGTGAGGATAAAAGTTTATGTAAGCAAAATAGTGCATGAATTAAATGGCTGCCAGTTGACACAAGCACAATTTACCACAAAGCACTAAACTAAAAGAGACTGTGTGATATTCAGATGATATTTCTGACAGGTAGGCTATAAATAATCTACAGAAAGTGGCAGATTCAGGAAATGCTCAACATAGAAATACCTTGAATATGGAAAATAAAGAAATTAAATGTACAAAAAATGTTCAAACCTAATCAAATCTGGCCTCTATGTTTAGTTAAGTACTGGTTATTAGAGAAACTTAGACACACATCCGTATCAGAGAAGAGACAGCCAAAAATTATATACAACACACTGTTAGTCGGACTGATGTCCTAGTGCAGTATTCCACTATCTCAGATTACCTATGTCAATGATCATTCCCATTATACATAACCAAGAAATGTAAGCCTGTAGCTTCACTGTTAGAGGGTATGACACCAACAATTATTATTTCATATAACATTTGTCTGAGATATAGGATTATGACCTTTTACTTCATGTTTAACCTTCTAAGAGCTGTTGGGACAAAGTGTGCATGTCAGGACTTTTTTACAGTGTTATATTCAAAGATTTAATTAATCAATGTATCTCAATAAACTTGTCATGAAAACGTAGATTGTAATTCAAATTTTTATATTATGTAAGCTTTAACTTCTTAGTTTCAAATTGATACATTTCAAAAAACTCCTCAGTTTTCATTTTTCTTTGTCACATGATGCCATTGAGTTCTGATTTCTACCCTTCATAATTTTCCAACGTGAAATAGGCTGTTGTAGTATCCAGTCAATTCGAAACAAAATTACATATAATTACAAACAGGAGTCTAAAATTTAAACCTACAACCATAAATTTGTCATATCATCAGAAAAGCCCATACTCCCCCCAACTTTTAAGATTGTTTTACTAATTGATTTTACATAGCTGATTGACTTGCGTATGAAAAAGTGAAAACTAGATTCTCCTCTATATGAATATGTGTCTTGTTATCTGAATTTTCCCACCTGGATAATTTGATCATTGCAGTGTTTTTTATTCCATGATCATTGTTTTGCTGGTGGAATTCTTTTAACGTATTTACAGCTTGCATAGAATGCTCTGTAAATTATAGTAGATTTTGAGCATTCTATTCTAGTGAATAATGTATTTTATGGACACCCAAGTTGATGAGACTCAGTGAGGCTTATGCAAGAACATCTATTTGAGCGCAAACTGCTCAAGTATGTAGTGTGTATTGCAAATCTTTGCTTTAGATGTATATTATTTATTCATTTTTATATATATGTGTTTTAACAAAAGAAATTGAAATGTAAGAATTATACACTTCTCAGCTTATCCTAACAAAACTTCAATGAAGTAAAATATTTAAAATTACACTAGCTCAAGAGCCATGAAACATGACTGTTGGATCATGTGCTGTCTATAAGAAACAGTTAATGGGCTACCACTTTTGACAGAACTACTGCTCCATTGGTGCAAAGTGCACATAGCAATAAAATCATAAACGTAAAGCAGATGTGACAAGTGTAACATCTGAAACTGTTAAGATAAGTAATTTGAAACTTTCTTATCAATACTGCAATCAGTGCAGAGGAAAAAATTATTATTCATTTCCTTTTATATTTTGCAACTTGTTACTTCACTGTACAGTGATGATTCACCCCAGTTAGAGTAGACAAAATAAGAGATGAAATATAAAGTTTTACTGAGTGTTATATATTACTAAATGCTCTATAGTTTCTATATAGTTTCAGATTACTGTATAACTGAATGTTATGTATTACTAAATACTCTGTAGTTTCTATAGAGTTTCAGATTACTGTAATAACTGAATGTTATGTATTACTAAATACTCTATAGTTTCTATATAGTTTCAGATTACTGTAATAACTGAATGTTATGTATTACTAAATACTCTATAGCTACAGAGTATTTAGTAATACATAACATTCAGTTATTACAGTAATCTGAAACTATATAGGAACTACAGAGTATTTAGTAATACATAACATTCAGTTATTACAGTAATCTGAAACTATATAGGAACTACAGAGTATTTAGTAATACATAACATTCAGTTATTACAGTAATCTGAAACTCTATAGAAACTAAGAGTATTTAGTAATACATAACATTCAGTTATTACAGTAATCTGAAACTCTATAGAAATTCCTATATAGTTTCAGATTACTGTAATAACTGAATGTTATGTATCACTAAATACTCTGTAGTTCATATATAGTTTCAGCTTACTGTAATAACTAATTGTTAAGTTTCAGCCTTTTTGATATTTTCATGTGTTCACTAATTACCTTGTAGGTCCCCATTAGTATGTAATTACTAATTATTTTGTAATTCTGTTTTGGTGTATAATTAGTATTTGCCACATGATACTTTGTTTGGGTTTCATCATGGATGTACTGGGGTCTGGAGCTGAGCAGTATTCTGGCACTATCTTCTCAATAATAAACCCATTGATCCATAATTACTATATAAATTGTCTGATTTTCCATCTTTGTTGATAACAGTAATGTTAACAACCTTCCAAAATTAACCAGTGTGTAAAGATATTGTAAAAAGTTACATTTAATAAAGTAGTAAAAGTGAAGTGAAATGTTTAATAGCATAATCACAATTAGAAATAATTATATAGCTCAATCTATCATTCAATTCTCACTTTTCACAGAATGTATACCGGTTTTGAGGAATTTCACCTTTCATCAGTAATCCTGGATAAGGACAAATAAAAGGAACAAAAGCATCTTAAACAGCTTATCCACTGATTAATGTAGAAGAATAAATTAGTAGCATTAATGCTACACATTTTTCAAAACTTATATAAATATATGTTCATTGTGGTGAGAAAAATACATAAAAAAGAGAATACATATTTATTAAAATTAGTAGCTTGCCCAGGAGCATTTTATTTATGGGAAGTAATGTCACATTAGGAAGTAGCAGTTGTGTTGATAGTTCTGTACTTGGAGATATATGAAAAAAATGAAAATATACATCATTGTTATCTAGCGTATGACTGTCAACTCATTGGCAAAAGAAAAATATTATGAATAATTTTTTTGATGAAATGCTCCAGAAAGCTTATGGGAAAATTCTTAATACTGATAGCAAAATTGTAGTCTTAGTTTATGGGTAAAAAAACTGTTATCAGCTCATGAACACCAACAGTGTTTCTTAAACATGTAAGTAACATAACTAATGGACATCTTTTCGCATTTCTGGAACTGGTCAAACTTGTTACCATGGAATAATCAATTTCAAAGTAAGAAGATTAAGCAATTCTTCATCATATCTCATTGAGTTATAAGTAACTTTTGAAATTGCCAAAAACAACAGTAACAAAGAAACTGAAAAACCAAAAATCATAACATCTAATTTAGTATTTTGTTTTAACTGTATGCACTAGTAAACATTAGTAGTATGTATAAGTCATCTCAGGTAGTAGCCAGTTTAATTACTTATAAAACTGAGTATAAGTTGCCTGTTCATAATGTAACTACCATGATTGGCATTTGATAGTTCCACTACTATTTTTTATCAATACACCAATTACTGTGTAATTGTTTGATTTTAAATTATTGATTAGTGTGTAACTGTTTACCTTCTTTTTTGCTAAGTGTTTTAAGATTCTATAAAACATTTTAGTTGTACAATTGAGGGCACATTTATATTTTCCTTATCTCATTTTTTATTGTTACATATAGTACTTGTTGTAAACTATAATTTTTTAATAATTACTGATTTATGAAAATCATTTGTAATACTTACTAACTCTAGTAGTTCTTGTTAATTTACTTAATATATTAAAAGTTCATGAGTGATGTGTGCATGTGGGAAATTTTATACAGTTGCTGTTGATAGTTGTCAGTAGACTATTAAAGTTGTGTATTACCTTTCTTCAGGTATATGTAGAGTATGTTGTGAAGAATCCAGAGGTTCTACTAGGACATTCAATCAGTAGTGAGCTTTTCAAGAAGAAACTGGATGAATTTGTGCAGAGTTCTAGCATCTACAGCAAAGTTTTCTGAAAGAACACATTAAAGTAAAATGTTTTTAGTTGAGCTGAATTGTTAATTATGTGTATCTTTATTATTGTATGCTAAACAGACAATGTACAAAATGAGTGTGATAAATTGCTCAGGCGTTTCTTCTTGTTCCATTGGTGCAGCAAATAAACTTTTGTGAATTGATCACAAAGTAAGAATATTCATAGAAGAAGTACAGATCAAGAGTTTTGAACCATAATACCAGGAAGTCAGTCATATGGTCAAAAGTAAGTGTGGGTAAATACAGTTTTCCTGTTTTGTATTTAACTCTTTTTAGTGTCTACTGCCCTGGACCTCAGCCACCAATGAGGTTAGTTTACTATTTGTTTTTTAACAGTATATCACTACAAGAGCTAAAAACATTTCAAAATAAACACTGAATACTGGAGGCCAAGATTCTGCAGTGTTATTTCATTCAATTGATAGAATTTTGTTTGCTCATTTGCATTTCACTTTTCATCAGTAGCTAAAAACTAGAGGAGAGGAACTGTGGATACTGACATCTGTTCACTACCATATATAGTACATATTCTCTTTTTAAGTTACACTGAGGGAAAGATCTATCAATTAAGAAATATTATGCCTGTAAATGACTTTTTTAAATACATTCTTGAACAACTTTGGTTATTCGTTAAAGTATATAAAGTATGATGTTTATTAATTGACCCTGATTTGGGATTTCACTTTCTTGTGGAATATGTAGTTATAATTTGGAATATTTCTGTTGTTTTATTCAAAAACCATCAACAACTAAACATCATTCACTTCTTAAGTTGAAACAAATTATATATTGGATTTATGATACCCAAGTGATCACTGTAAGGTAAAGAATATGAAGCTGTGGGTTTGAGCTGATGCAATGTTTTGAACTACTGGGTGTATGTTTGAGACAAATGGTGGTTATTTTATATGCATTGCATTGTTTAAGTGACTTAAGCCACTGCTTAGATGCTTACTGTTAAATTAAGTTTCTATAAATGGAACACGTAAATAGATTTTAAATAACTTCAGTTTTTATGATATCCAGCTATGTCTTATCTGGGTATTTTCCTTTTAATGTCCAACACTGTCTTATCAGAGTTTAAGGCACAGTAGGTTACATTATTAGCATGATTTTGATGAACAAAAACTACATTTATTTCTTACCAATTGTAACTCAAAAACAGTAAAAATGTACTGAATTTTTCAATAAAGGATTTAAAAAAAAGAGGGCCTGAACCTCAGGAAAAAAAAGTCTGTGGGATAATGATCAGAATACCCCCTGCAAATGATAAGTTACTTGTACCCTAAAGAATCTCATTGCTGTATTAATGCTTAAAAATAGAGAAATGAAGCCCTCATTGCATTTAAATATGACACACAATTGCAATTCCACTTTTTTATACAGTAATTATTTGCAAAAGTGGTAGCTGCATTAGTTCAATGCAACAGAAAAAAAACATGTATGCTAGATGATTTTCATCTCTGCTTCAAAATATAATGTGTAATGTATTTAGAAAGTTTCTTTAAAAGAATATTTATACCTTAATGTATAAATACTGTTAAATTACATTCAATTTTTGAGTTCCTTAACCTTTTATAAGTGATTAGAGATGCTATACTAATAATTTATTTTTATTGTTATATAGGCGTGTATATATATATATACATATTTACAAATGCCTGTTAATAAGCATCTTTGGTAATATACAATATTTAAATATCTACAGGTGTGATAAGCTTCCTTTCCAAAATAGTACTACTTTTCTCACCCATAGCTATTTCGACCTTCATTTGCCCTCAAGGCATTGGTAAATTTTTTTAAAGCACACCAGTCTTTTATACCCATATATTTTTTGCGTCATTGCAGCAACATGTGCTGATCATGTGACCACCCTCCACCAATCCCATTGCTTCCTCTATACTAGTGCAGGTAGCTCCCTCTACCTTTGTGGCAAATCCTCACTTTTTTTATTTGCATTCTCGTGTCTTTTATGTTCTTCATGTGACTGCACAGTTTTTGATTGTGCTTGATCACCAATTAATAATAAAATATCAGTTTCAAGTTTAAGTTTCTACTTGTTTGTTTTTGAGATGTTTCTGTTTCTCAAATTCTACTTTGTTCATATGAATTCTGGTTTCTTATGGTGATTGATAATTTTCCCACCATAAGTAGACAGCAGTTATAACACTAGGCCTCAGTCCCTTTCTTGATCTGTCCTGGTTGTATACTTATCTGCAGTCGCCTTTTTTCACCACAGAGTCCTACCTGTCACTTTGGTGGGGTTTTATGTTGTCTTCTCGATATCCTGGAGCCAAAGCGGAGAACCAAAAAAGGAAGTGAAGAAAACCCCAAATAAATAAGATACTGTAAGGAGGTAGTAAAGGACTTCTTCAACCAGAAACAAACCCACCTGAGAAGTTTCTCAAAGAAGGAAGTGAGTGTTAGTGACTGACCAGGCACAAGAAGAGGCGAGGAGAAGCCTGTCATCCGTGAAGTGCGAGTGTGAAGACCCAACAAGTGAAGATGATGGGCAAAAGCATACCACCCCAAAAACACATACAGAGCTGAAGAAAGACAGTCTGTGAGTACCCAGAATAGGGAGGCAAAATTCACCTAGAGGAACCAAAGAAAAGAATTTGACACTGGGGTCACATTTGCCATCCCTTCTTCTTCTCTCTATTTCCATGAAGTTCTCTCTCTTTTGGCATATGGTCTTTCTCAGAAGTGCTCATTCCCCTGGGTCATACATACACGATACTTCTCGACCAGTGGAATTTCCCTCACGATTCCTTGGACCATCCCATTTTCCTTGATTCCCCTTAGTTTTTGGGTCAGTGGTCAGTCGAGGAGGCTACTCTCCATATCCACATCTTGGTACCTTGGCAGTTCATTGGGCTCTGTATCCTTTCCTCCCTTTCCTGCAGGGTAGAATGGTATTGGTTCTTTCTGCAATTCCACTATTGTCAGCTTTATCACCTTGAAAGGGGTACCACATACCAATCTCAGTCTGTAGGACTCTGGATTTTGTGTATTGGGCCAATGACCTTAGTGTGACCATTCTTGTGAATAATGTTCCCCGAGTTCTGATTCTTGTGTCAATTTCTTATTGCTTCCCCACCAGGTTCTCTACAGAGTGGTCTCTTCATCCTCACGTTTTTCTGTGGGTGTGTTCTCAACATACTTTCTTCCTTTTAGTCTTCAGTTTCTCACCCTTCAGCTGTGGAGATAGATGCTTTCAGTCAAAATTGGAGGGGTCTTCACTTATATGCCTACCCTCTTATTTGCCTCATCTTCTGGGTCTTTTCCCTTATCCAGACAAAACCTTGTTGTGCTCTGCTGGTTCTTCTGTATTTGCCACTCAGATGTGGTTCCCTCTGCCCTAGCCCTTTCTGGAGTAACACACCTTACCCTTTTCTCTGTCCTATCTGCTCCTCAGTCATCCCCAATCTGACGTTTTTTTTTCATCCAGACATCTCCACACTCCTTCTTTCAGAGTGACTTTTGACCAATCTACCCTCTGTTTGGACTCCTCCTCTTCTGGGTCTTTTCCTTTATCTAGACCTCTCCTTCTTGTGTTTTGTTGGTTGCTCCAGATTGGCTGGCTCCAACATAGTTCCCTTTACTCTGGCCCTTCATGGAGCAATATATCCTACCCCTTTCTCTGTCCTGTTAGCTCCTCTGTCTACCACCATCAGTTGTTTTCACCCAACATCACTATACTCTATCTTTCTATGTGTCTTTTGTCCAGTTCCATGCCTCAGCTCAAGGGCTCACCCCTTGTGTCGCATCTTTCATTGCCTACACCTTTTGCCCTTCCTCTTTGTCTGTGTATCAGAAGCATAAGTCTTGCTTCAGTCTTTGGTCTTTTTCCCAGAGCTTCCATCCCTCCTTTACTTCTGTTCCTCACCTGTCCCAGCTCTATTTGTTTATTCAGGGTTTGTCTGACTCAACTGTTGCTCTTTATAGAGATGCCCTGTCGAACTCCTTCCTTTCTCCCTCTTCCAGAAAGTTTCTCTTCCACGGATTGTTCAATTTCTCTCTTCTGATTCATTTGACATGTTTCCTATGTTCTGCTGGATTGGGATCTCCATATTGTTCTTCCTATCCTGTCTGATTCTCCCTTTGAACCCATTGCAATTTGTTCCATGTAAGATATTTCTCTTATGTCCTCAATCCTCCCTCTCTGGGCATCTAGTCTTCATTGTTCCAATTTTTATGACATCCTTTACCATTTCTCATATGTTTTTCATTTTCTGGATCCAACATTCTTTCCCTGGACTTTGGCTGCCCAGGTAGGTTGTTTTGCCTTTTCTCCTTTTTCCTTCCCATCTGTATTCCCATTCTTTTCTGGATCATCTCCTTTGTCCAGTTCATTCCCTGCTCTGTTGTTTGGCTTGTACTGTCTCCTTTTGTTGTTCTCGTTCCTGTCTCATTATTCCATGGCATTCCTGTTTCCCATGATCTTTCTCCTATTATGCTCATGGGTTAGGTTCATCAACCCTTACACCTGGCGTATTTGGATGTGTCTCTGGCCGTTTGCCATCTGCATATTGTTTCTTCATGCCTAATTCATCATCTAACTCTGTCTTTAGCTGTTCAATTTCGCCATCGTTTAGAGGGGATCATTCAGGCCAGTATGTGAACAACTCCCTAAACTTTCATCACTCTTTCTCTGCACAACTTCACTATATCTTCCTTGGGCAGATATTGTCTTCCTCCTGTGGCAATTCTACACACGTCTGTTCACCTGTGATTGGGGTAAGTCGTTTTTTTGGTCGTGTTTTTTTTTTTTTCTTTTATCATTGCTTATACATCATATTTCATGATCCCACCTGGTGGCAGGTGTTGCCTGGTCAGGTATGCTGAATTTTATATCTTAGCACTATATCTGTATACTTCTCCAAATGCTCACTGTGGAGATGGGGTGTTTCTGTGAGACCACCAGAAGCTTTTGCAGTGGTGTATCTATATCTATATACCACTTTTTTTAT